GTGTGTGGGGGTGTGTGTGTGTGGGGGGGTGTGGGGGTGTGTGTGGTGCAGAATTACAGTATCAAGAGCCTTGATTTTTTAATATGCATTGGTCAGCAGTGAGTTTCAAGTCAAAGATCACAAGACAATGTCAGCATAAAAATCAAGACAGTGCGTGCTTCTCTTATGCAATGTACTGTGTTCATCTGAGATGAAATGCCACACAGGTCATTAGTAATAATGTCTGTTCAAGCTATATTGGGAAGTGTTTGTTGGATTACTATCTTGGCTTAGCTTTTTATAAATGGACATTATATTGTGTTTTCATAAGAATAGTGTTTGTTGACTTAAGTGGATATAGCAAACTAAACACACAACAGTGATTTTTCCCTCTACCCTTCTGTGATACCATCTGCAAACATGATTTTAGTGTCAGTTGCTATGCGTGGCAGTAAACAGTTACACCTTTCAACCTAGAAGCTTATCTTAAGTTACACGATGGATCTCAATTATTCTCTGCTTTCGAGGGTTGCATTCAGACCAAATCGAGCGCTGCAGCAATTAGTGCAGGGTTGTGTGGTTAAACCACTTAAATGGCCAACTGAGTGACACTCATTTGATTGACCACTATTTATTTGAATGGACCATTAATCACCGGTTAGGTGTTTATAAACTGGACTGTAACGTTGGGTTGCAAAAGTTAGGGAGGTATTTTCGCCACAACGCTCAATTTGGAGTTAATGCAGCTGGTAAAAGACATAACAGAGTTGTTGGTTGTTAATATTTTTGAACTATGCAGATACAACTTGACTAATAATAATGATAACCGAGCATAGCACTTTGCAGTATCAAAGCTTGTTTGCAACTTATCCTCTGATTAAAATCTCATATCAGCATTATCCACTCTGGTCCACACTTTCTGAAACCTTATTACATGAATTCACAGTACAGCACTTTGAAATAGGAATAGAGTAAATGTCAAATGTAAATGCAAAAACATTCACCCACAAACCTTACAGTATATGATTTTGTTTGTGTATCATTTTAGAGTAATAATACCTTTTGGTATGAATATGTGTATTCGTCTTGTTCTATTGACTCCATCTGGTGCTGTTGGTGGAAGTGCTGGTACTTTATTGTCGTACTCTAGAGGTGGAGTGCCCAAGGAGAATGGATGTTTCTTACAGACTGACTGACTGACACCTTTGATGAAATGCACATATAACAATATAAACATAACCTTTTGTTGACTCAGAATTTAGCAACCGCTGGAGCAGATTTGATTTACTTTCCCTTTAAGAGCTTCTACCCACTGCATGACAGTGTTTATTCCAGTCTAATAAAGTTAACCCACACAGCTTTCAAATGGTCTTACAAGCATAAAGAAATGTACTAATTAAAGTTCAGTCCAGGACAGATGTGTGTTTCCATAACATGTGTAAGTATCAGGTTGCACACAACATTTCTGCCGAACCGAAACAACTAGCCCAGATGTTTTGGCAGTGGTTATGTCATACTAAGCATTTACACCCCATCACATCTTTGTCTGCGTAAAGCATGAATAAGTTGTCAGGGAGGTCAACTTAAAACCAGGTTATTTAAACCCAATCAGCTAGCAGCCAACTGCTAATCTGACTGCTTACATTAATACCTGTCGTGGCTGCCAACCTTTTTCCAGACATACTGCATGCAAGCATTCTCATGCATACACATGGCGAACAGGCTGCTAGACACAGAGACATTGGTTTCAACAAGCTGGTAAGTTTGCTGTTATGTTGAATCTCCAGTAAAATCATTAAATCCGAGGAACCTTTAACTGAGACAATTAAGGGTTGTTTGCCGTTGGGGCGTGAATAAAATATATCAATAAAGTATAGTGTGCCAATTAATTTGACTTCAGTCAGCCTTTTCACAATCAGAGCAATATTGGCTCCTTTACCTCCAGTCGAGAGGCCTGTTTAAATGGAATGTGACAACAAGATGTCTTTTTTGTTTGTTTTGTTTCATCACTACTGAGCTAGACTAAATAAGTCAGTTATTCATAGAAAACACTTTTTTTCCCCTCATGCATTTAACAATAACCTATTTCAGACGTTTAAGATAGCCACTTTTAAACTTTTGCATATCAGATGATGTACTTAAAAGCAACTTTCAACATTTTGTGCCTCAGATATAAAGGAAGCAAACGCTGACAGGAATTGTGCACTGATTCTAATATTACTAGCATCCTGTTTGTGTGTTTGCACGAACCAATATGAATCAATGTCACTGAAACATCTTTATGTTTATGGCCATACAGAGAATGTGTATTTCAATCTGTTTATAATACCAATTTCATTATTAGTGTCAGTGAAGTAATCAAAAAGGCAAATGCGGAATTTTCACATCCTGTTTTATGCTTGTACAAACCTTGTGGCACACACAGAAAACATCTCAAGATTGTTGTTATACTTCATTAAGGAATCATTTCAGTGGAAATACAGTATGGTGTTTGCAACAATATCCTACTTCACATTCATTCACAGAGC